ATCTCTATGGTTATCTGGGAAATTATTTCTGTTTTGAATTTTTCTAGAGCCTGATTGATCTGTTTTGTTACTTCCTGTGCTTTGAATTCAGGGTGTCCTGGTGGTTCACTATCGGCCTTTTCATCCTCATTTGCCCTACTGTTTGCCATTGGCAAACTGGAAGTCTGTCCTTGTGTCTTGCTTAAGTGTTTTCTCATTTTAATTTTTGTTGTCGGACTGTCCTTGGTTTAATCTCTGGATTATCATCCAAATCTTCCTGATATAGTTGCACCCTAGCTTCTGTGTCTCTAACGACCCATGGACATTCTCATCTTCATAACATCAGAGAAAACAGTTCATCAAATCAATGGCAATGCTTTACCCCAACTGATACAATCAGCAACACATTAAGATCAAGCACAACTTGGATACAGACCACCTGTGGTAGTCACTAGTCTATCACCCTTAAATCATTTGAATAAAATTGAAATCAAGAAGCAGTCCAGAACATGTCTGGAGTGAACAAACTTTTCAATATAGTATATTAACCATTTAATGGCTCAGACAGAGCGAGGATGCAAGACCCCTGATCTCAGTTAGCTGATTGCTGAACCCCATGACGCTGACTGACCTCAGGCCGCAAGGCCCAGACTGAGTTCCCCATCCTTCTGAATGGTTGAACTCCACAAGGTTCTATTACAGGTTTCGCCGCCCTTTCTTTAAAGATGTTCAAAGTTGGGAACTCAGAAAAATACCCTTGATGACCACCTCTGTCTTTGCAGAGTGGGTCCAAAGACTTGCACAGTCGGAGAGTGTGTGTGTGGGGGGGGTTATGGGGATTCAGGGGCGCCCGCGCGGCTACCTTCCCGGGGCTCAAGCGATGGCTGCTGGGTCAGGAGCAGGCGTGGTTCTCCTTCCTGCAGTAGGTCGGGGCCCGGCCTACCTCCCGGCGCTTGAACGATGGCACCTGGGTTGGGAGCAGGCGTGGTTCTCCTTCCCGCGGTGGATCGGGGACCCGCCTACCTCCCAGCGCTTGAGGGATGGCGGCTGGGTCGGGAGCAGGCGTGGTTCTCCTTTGTGCGGTGGATCCGGCTCAGGCTTCTATTTTAGCTTTTATGAAATATTTAAGAAGCAGCATTACAAAGATGCTGTTGGAGAATACTAACCAAAGTGGCCTTGGCTTTGTTGCCCTGAGAATCCCACAAAAGATACATGATTTAGAATCTAGAGCCAAGTAAAACATCATAAAATTGGAGCTTCACTTCAGTATAGTAATTGTCATAGGACTTACTACGCATTATTTCCCCCTGATCACAAGAAAATATCTAAGAATAGTTGAACACTTAGGCTCATTGCTTATGTTAATCTTGCACTTGGCTTCCGATCAAAGGAAACAGAAAATAGGAACTCTTCTTGTTATCTTACTTTAGTTTGTTTTAGGAAACACTATACATATGTAGTAACATAATTATAAATCATTTACATAAATAATGCATTCATGCTATATTTTTGAAAACCCCAGATTTCACCTACTTTACTTTATTTGCCCTTCCTCACAGCCCACAGAAAGCCAGACAACTGTTGAGACCTCACTTGTCCCTTCAGAAACTAAGGATCCCAGTGAATAAAATGGCATCTGGAAATCTGAATGGTTCAGGCAAAGGTCTTACATACTTTCATTTGTTTGTGAAACCCACAGGTTCAGAAGGATTTCTCAGCCACAGGGAAAAGGCTAATAAAGTGATTCTTTCTCAAGGCCACTCTGGAGTCACTGGACTAATGATTAATGCTTGGGACACTGAAACACAGCGGATCACTGCCAGGCCCTCTGCCTAGCTGTGCAGACCTGCACCTCACTGCATCAGACAGATTCCTTCCAGATGTGGGCCTAAGTAACCAGGAAAACAGTATCCAGGCTTCACTGCCACAGCCACAGTGGGATACTAAGTAACTAGGCTCTCCTAGATTATTCACCCACATTCACCCAGGGCTGGCCTAGGCTAGTGGTACAGGAAGTATTTGTGCTCCTTCACGTACCAAGGTAAATATACCCATGGAGAAGGGAAATAGGTTCCTAAACATTAGCCTCACCCATGCTTAAATTATGAAAGTTTACCAATAGTGAAGCACGAATAAAAATAATAAAAACACAAGAACACCTCAAACTGCAGCAGCAAATGCTATTCTATATTTTCTTGAGCTGGGATGTGGCTCTTTTGTCTAAGAGCTGTTTTATAACTGTTTGTTGGATAAACTTCATACATAGTGATATTAAAACCAGTGGCACTGCTTGCTGAGCAGGGAATTCCTGAAAGATGCATAAGTGTTCTCACTCATAAGTCAAGGAAAGTCATCAAAACTAGAAACTCCTTTTTAGCATTCATCATGTAGCCAGTTAGGTGTTTTCCTGTCATTTGTTTCATTTAATCCATGTAACAATTCTAGGAGTATCATAAATTCCCTGGTACAGTCCCATAAAATAAATAATTAAAATGGTAGAGGCTTTGGAGAACACAAAAAGAAAAGTACACATAGATTTTCTCAGTCTCAGTTTTAATATCAAAATATTAAGATCACACAAAAATTTTTATGGTTCTTATAAGGCTCAAAAAATAGAATACTCCGCTACAATTAAATGTAGTGCAATTTAGGAAAGATTTACTCGGGCTGGTAAAAATATGGTGTTTAAAGAAAAACATATTATAGTAAAAGACATATTGACATTAATCCCTCTTACAGTACTCTCCTTCACTTTGAGCACACTGATCCCATCCTTCTTCCCACTTTCTGAAACAGTTCTGGAAGTCTTCATTCGTGAGTGTCTTTAAGATTTATGACACAAAAACGTGGTCAATGCTCCTGCCAAGTGCCATCCAGTGGAAAGACAGGATTATCAAAACATTACCATGTGTTTTCACCCACCTTATCTACTAGATATGGCTCTTCCCCAGAGTCAAAGTGATCATGAAAAGTGAATCCCAGCAGCCACAACAGTGCAACTAGACACTCACAGAACAAGATTTCCAATCTTGCTTTGGAAAGAGGCAAGAACTATGAGGTAAGTGTGTTCAAGGGAGATTAATGGCAATGTGTCTTTTAATGTAATAATTTTATTGAAATTTAAACTTTTTCTGTATTTTGTGATCTCTCTTCATATATTTGTTTTCATTAACACTTGATAGATGATATTCCCTTCCAAATAAGTTTTCTGGAAAGTTGTATTTACATTTATATACACATACCTTTCTTTATTGGAGGAAAGACAATCTTCTGATCAACTCTTCCTTTATTATTCTCATGTTGGACAATAAGTTTGTGCTCTTTAGCCAGTGAGTCTCCAGCCACAGTTAACCAGCTAAGTTTTATGTAGGTGTCGTTAATCTTCACCGCATCTCCCTGCTGGGATTCCAGAATCCTATCAGTATCTTTTTCCTTCCAAAACACCTTAATATCTTCAGGGAAAATTTTCTCCAGGAGACAAAGATATGTCCCAGCCTTATAGATATTTGTTTCAGCCACTGAAGGAAGAAACATAGTGGGCTTGGGGGAAACGTCTTCGTGGAACACATTGTCTGCAGAGGAAATGGAACACCAGTGAAGAGAATTATTAGAAAGACACAAACCCTGTGTGGTTTGTAAGTACTGTAACTAGTTCCAGTAATAGGAAGATAAGCTGCCATAGCAGGAGTGCCCACCATGGCCTTTCTTCTACCATCTGTTGCATGACATCGATTATTATTCTTAATTTATAGGCAAGAAAAGAAGATCAATAAGTTAAACAAGTTGCCAACATAAGCACTATTAAATGGCATAGACTACAACAAACACCTTGCCTTTGTCCTTTCTCCACATGTCAAGATGGGGTATGATTATGAACTTCAAAACGCAGGCTTCCAATATTCATGAATCCATTGATTTTTTTACACCATCTTTTTTTCCCCCCACAATGGATTGTGTTTTCATAGTATATGTCAGGGGACAGGGAGGAGACCAGGTCACTTCATAATCTCTCTACAGAGACTATCTGAGGTCCCTTCTAAGGTATTTCCCTTTCCTTTCCTTTCTTTTGTCATTTATGCTTTCTGGCCAAGTAACTCGTGTTCTCATGTTCTGTCTGCAATTCTATGCAACTCACTCTGTTCCAGGACGCACCCTAAATATTTTATTTCTCATAGATATAAATGTTAGAAGGAAGATTTTAATTTTTTTAGTAATAACATTTGCTGACTTCTCTTAATGGGTATCTACTTTGGTGCATACGTAAGAGTCTTTCCAGTTGACCTCCAAGCTTCAATGTGGGTCTCACATCCATTTCTGAAGTTCCTGAAGGTTCTCCTAGTTAATCTCTATCATGAACTACTCCAGCATTCTGGATCTGGCAGTACTTAAAGGTACACTTCCATCATATTTGCAATGTCTTGAGTTCAGAAACAAAGTAACATCTTCTATTAAAAAGTTTACTTATTTTAAGAAATATTCCTATGTTAATGTACTCAAGTAATATGTTTATCAAATTTTGCTTTGCTTTTAAAAATGTTTACCAAAAGCACATTTTATTTTGGTATTTCATTTGAAATGCAGCATCACTAAGGACTCACTAGATGTGTGTTTTTTATTTCATAGTTGCTTTAATGTGAGTTGAACTTATTAAGCAGAGAAGTCACACATAACTGCATATCTATATTTTGAATCACACTGTCACTTCCAAAATTAGTTCATTTAAACCTTATGGAGCTCAGGAATTCTCTTCATTTTCAACTACTAATTTATATATGTGTATGTTTTCACAGTTCCATGCAAACAGAATGCTAAAATATAAAGCACACAGAATCATCTGTTTACAAAGACCTATCAAGTGTCTCTTTACTGGTTATCAGTTTACATTTAATGAAAGGCCTGAAATTATAAATATTGGAATTCTTTCTAATTGAATTTCCAATTGGAATTTGACTGTTTTGCCAATATTCTTGTTTGGGTTAGCTTCAAGTACACATAAACATTCAATAGTTAATTTCCCATGAAAATTAAAGAATTGGATTTCTTGAATAAGAAGGAAAGGGAATGAATTTCTGATTATTTCTGCCCATTGTAGCAAAAATCCTGAGTTTCATACAGAATCAGTGAGCATATAAAATTAATATTTTTAACATGATATAAATATAATTATGTAATAATGTGCTTATTTTCATCTCATACAGCTTGTTTTTAGTGCACATAGAAAGATACTGTATATCTCTAAAACTTCATACTTTAAAAAGCAAGTTGTAAAAGATAAGATTAATGTTCAGTTGCACATTATATTCATATAAATTTATTTTCTCATCCATGTATTTGAAAACTCTAATGTTTGTCTTAAGAATTTCTTTTTCTTTATAGTAATACATGTGACTCATTATAAAGAAACTGGAAAATCCAACAATATACTGGAAAAGTTCCTGTGCAGTAGCACAACCTTCATTTTGTCTTGTCTCTTATCTTCCAGCTAGATTCTGAAGTTTCCTTTTCTCGAGGATGAAATGAATCGTGAACTCCCATAAGTTTCTCAATGTAACAGTTAACTAAGCATAAGTAGTGTACTTGATTATTTGTAGTTAGTAAATATATTTTGGACCCCTGTATTATGTGATCTCTTAAAACATTACTTTTAAATGTATATTTTAAGTTTGATTTCCATAGTTGAAATATTTTTCATGATATGTAAAGTGTCAGTCATCCTATTTCATTTGAATAATATCCAGAATGGCTACCATATATTTAATTTATTGAAAACAATCAGAAAACATATCCAATTCATTTATATGCATTCCTTTGAATAATAAAATGACGCATTTTCAATTAAATTTCCTAAGTTGTTATATTTTAAAATGCAGCAAGGTAAATTGTATACAAATCCTACCAAATCTCTTGTTTTCTGTTGGAGGTATATTAAATGTACATATTGTATTTTAAAGTGTTTTCTATATTTTATTTTTCTGTCATAAAATTATTGCATCGTTTTAATATTTAAGACGTATTTCATATTTATGGACTGTATTTAATTGATTTTATTTTTCATACATTTTCAAAATGGATTTATAGTTCTTTTTAGGTAAATATAGGTAAAAGCCTAAATTTATTAGTTATAAATTTTATTACCAGTAAATGTTGATGTTACAAACATTATAACTTAAGGTAAAGACTTAGTATTCAAAGCACATAGAACAAAAATGAATTTTTTGAAAATGCAGTTTATATAATATAGCATGATTTTTCTTTCTGAGTGATATATAAGTTCACAAAGGGAAAACAATTGTCTACAGATTCAAGTTCTTGTGTGACTAGATGTTAAGATAACTTTCCATTTAGACACTCAAAAGTAAGGCTGAATCCTCCGGAGAATTTCTGCTCTGTAGATGTTATGGGATAGAAACAGTTCTGCCAAGTGCAAGAGATATTCCCTTTACATTTGATCTAGAACCTCACTGAACAAGGCAGGAGGATCGCCAAGAGTTTGAGGTCAGCCTAGGCTGTACAGTGAGGTAAAGGCCAGCCTGAATTAAGCAAGATCCTGTCTCAAAAACGAAAAAAATTCTAGTGACAAAAACTTGTTCGGGCACCTATTATGTGCTATGCAATGTATCAAGCACTTCAGTGACACTCTTCATGGGATTCTCTTATAACCTTGCAGGATTAATGAATGCTATTATTCCAGCGTGAGGGTTAGGAGTCTGAGGCCAAAGGACAATGGCGGGCATACACTAAGCAGTAAAAGTGTGGAGCCAGGACTCCAGGTCTGACTTCCTGAAAGCTCCAGTCTTCTAGAACACGTTTGACAGTGAGAAAAGGGCAAGTTCTACTGAGTCTGTCACAGACTTCATCTGTAACAATGAACTTGTCCCAGGTCCAACTGCTTCAGTAACATTGTTCTGTAGATTATACGTGAGCACTTCATAAACGCTTATTTATATGCAAAACCCAAGCCAGTTAGAATATTTATCTGCACAACCTTGTATATTTTCTCTTTTAGTATTTGTATCATGATCTCTCTGCAGATTGCTACATGAAATCTTTTTAGGGGGGAAATCGTTATTATTATTTCAATAAAATTGCATCTCACCTGTTCTCTACTGCCCTCAAAATGCTGTATTGTTTTCACCTACCTGTGACAGTAAGTTTTGTTCCTCCAATCGAAGACTTTCTTATAATATGCCCACAGTGATTCCATCCATATCAAAAGCTTTTGACTAATTTAATATCCCCATGTTCCTCAAATTCTAGAGGCAACCTAGTGCCTAGAATTCTGGGGAGACCAGGAAACTGGTTCTCATTCATTTTACTCAACAATTTTTGTGACTGGGCATATCGAATGACTAAAATTTTGGTGATTTCTTTCCCCACAAAACAATGAAGATAGCTGGGTGTGGTGGCGCATGCCTGTAATCCCAGCACTCAGGAGGCTGAGGCAGGAGGATTGCTGTGAGTTCGAGACCAGCCGGGGCTACATAGTGAGTTCCAGGTCAGTCTCAACTACATAGTGAGACCCTGTCTCAACAAACAACAACAGAAAAAAAAAAAAAACAATGATAAGGCAAATCAATTCAACATTAGCATCAGCATTGAGAGAGAACAAAATAATTCAAAATATGAAATAGTAACTTGATTAAAAATACCATAGAGTCATAGTAAGTTATAATAAGCAAGTTATTATTATAGCAGTTATCATCATTGATATGTGTTAGCAATCTTTTTGCCCCAACTATGCTCCAGCATGATATTTTCATCCCATAGACCCAAGCCCTGAATTTACTCATAGAAATTCAGCATTTGGGGACTACAATAAACCAATGGCAAGTACTTGGGAAGAGTTGTTTCTCCATCCTCCATGTGCATGTACTACTCTTTCTTATGCCTGGAATTCCCAAGCCATCATCACAGGAAGCCTGCCTTGCACACTCCTGCGCTTCTGAAGGCTGTCACCTGTCTCACCTGCTGCTGTTGGACAATTGAAGGGAGCCTGGCTCAAACCTGCACATGGGGCAGTGTGTTGAGATGGTTCACTTGTGCTAACATCACAAAAGGCTCTTTTCCCGCTCGGCAGCACAACACATGTGAACTCCAAGCTTTTCTGAAATGTTCAGCCTAAACAATTTTCTATGAGCTCATGGTAAAGCTCAACTTGCTACTGCTAGCCTGGCCCTTCCAAGCAGAATAGCTAGAGAAATGGCAGAAGACCTGGTCCTCAAAGCCATCCGGGTCACCAAGTGCTATCTGCCTGGCTCTGTGTGTGGAGGTCTCCATCTATGCATGACATTAAATATTAGGAAGCCCACAGCACTGAGGCTGGCATTGTGCAGTGGATTTAAGGACCATTTCCATTTCCTTAATTTCCAAAACTCCAAGTAGAAGGCAATGTCCACACTACACTACAATTTCCTCCTGAAGGACTTATGCATTCACAGCCTTTTCTTTTCTAACTTTATAATAGGAAAGATACTATATTTGAAATTTTTAGAATGCTTCTATTAATCAGATAATAATATATACTCCAGGGAGCTTTTCTTTTACATTTCAGAGTAAACTTCTCACCTGGGCTTTGTACTAGATAATTATGTGTCTTTTTCCGTCTCTTTTCTTCTGACTTCTCCAGATTCTATTTTTATTTAGTGGTCTAAATGTGCTTATGCATTGTATTTTTTTATCTTCTCAAGTAGATTTTGGAAATAGGCAATTTAAATATACAATCCCTGGTTTGTTCATTGCAGCATGTTTATCTTCTGGCTTTAGAGCCTGATTGTTTGTGAGGTCTAGCTCAAAAAGATGCAAGAGATGGAGGTTATGTTCAAACTCTAATTCTGTGATAAAATGACAGACATGCTGGCATGTTGGATTTAAACAGACCCACAGGGTAGGAGCATAAGAGCATAAGACTTTCTGTCCCCAAATTATCCCTCAGAATACATGAGTTGCCTGTGGAACAGCCTGTGTGTAGGCTTCAAATGAGAAGATGCTTTTCTAGTCATACGGTCTAAAACTATGACTCGGTTAAGATATCAGTCTAAAATAAACTCACTTAGTGCTGATCTTGGAATAGCACTGGTAAAAGAATAAAAAGCAAAGAAGTTTAATATGGATCTGGCGATTATTACTTGAGACTAAGGTTTCTACAGCAGATACTTAACACATGAATAGAATAATAATGAATGGAAAATGCTTTCCTTTCATTGAGTAAGTGGAAAATTCTCTAGGGGAATGAATTATGCAGTGGCACCCACACACAAAGTTCTCAACCTGGACCTGAGCTAGCTTAGGAAGTTGTGGTAAGGTAGATGTATGTGTAAGATGTAGGTGAAGCCTGGACATATTTTCTAATGAAAGGTAAGAAAACATAGCGGTATTTTTTAGCTGCTATTTTGTGTTGATATAATTTTAACTTGGTAAAAAATAAATATAAATGCACAGCTGTTTTATCTGTAATTTTATATATTCAACTTGTGAAATTAAAAAATTATTTTAATACATAGATATGGGAAATTATAAATTATTTTTTATTCAGGCACACAGTATGTGAGAAAATGCATATCACCTAGTTATTTTTAGAAGCCATTTCTATTACTCTCAGAGATGAAGAGAATTTTAAGAAATACTGACCATTTGCTCTAAAGTGGGCTATTGATTAGATGGTCTATATTCTTAAATTTGTATAGGTCTCTATAGGTTGTGATTTGAATTCTGAAAAATAAATTGGTATTTATTCACTAAGTACTGGCCATTGTAATGGGTAATTCCATAATTAACATTACTTAATTGCTGTCATATACAGTACAGATAAATTTCAAAATCTTCTGTGTATAGATTAATAAGAAATCAGAAGTTTTTAAAACTTGCTTTGTTAAATTATGATTATTTGAGAAAAATATTCATGAAACCATGTGAAGTAAAACGAAGCCAGCTCTCTGAATCTTTATATTCTATAATCCCAATCTTGAAAAACAAAACAAAAAAATTCACAGATAAAAAAATGACTGACTGGAAATACAAGAAAATGGTGATTACAAGTTCAATATACATCTTAATTTTTTACTCATTCTTATGTATTTCTCAGTTTTTCTCTGATCAGCAAGAATTATTTCATTTTAATAGGGTAATAATTGGTGACTCCAAATTTACTTGCTGAAATATGTATACATGGAAAATAATGTAACCCCAGAAGTCATGTTCCAGAATCAAAGCTTCATTCTTCCCCTTTTCTGTCTGCATCTAAAAAAATCACTCCACAGGGAATTTAGGAATTATGACTGTGGCACAGTTATTTAATTTGATTGTGATAATTAAATTGGGTCCACTGGAAAAAAGAAGAGCAAAAATTAGCTTTCCAGTTAATTTATCTTCTCAAGTAGATTTTGGAAATAGGCAATTTAAATATACAATCCCTGGTTTGTTCATTGCAGCATGTTTATCTTTTGGCTTTAGAGCCTGATTGTTTGTGAGGTCTAGCTCAAAAAGATGCAAGAGATGGAGGTTATGTTCATTTTTTCGTACAATCTCAACCACCAAGAAAACCAACAAGTACCATCCTTTACATTTTTTTCAATGTTTTATCAATTTTGTGAAAAGTCACTAAAAACTTCCATCTTAGTGAATCCAGTGAGCTAGAACCATCTTTGTGAGATGTTCTTCCTAATCCAGCCAAAACTACATCTTTAAGAATAATGAGGAATGAACAAGACATTCAAACTGAATGTTTTTTAAAAAAAGGAATAGCAGTGTATGTCATTCCTGAATATAATCACAGAGAAATATTTTAAATTTGATATGAATCATCCTGTGGCCAAATCATCAAATAACTGATCCTTCTGTGATCAAGTGACAAGTTTAGAAGATTTCTTTTCATTTTTTTCTGTTTGCTATTTCTAGAGCCTGTGGCACCCACATTCCTGTCTCTCTTCCCTGCTTCATATTGCAGAATTAAGAGAAAATGTACCTGTAACAATGAGCCTGTGCCAGGCCAAACACTTTGATTTCATTGCCAGTGGTTACCCATCATTACACAGAAAGTTTTTATAAAAATCTCCCTTTATGTTCATCTTTAAATTCCCCAGTCTTTAGTCACTAGTTTAAAAATCTTTCATTTTCTCTCATTTTAATTTATGGGAATATTTATTCAGTGTTTATATTGAAACATGTAAATTAGCTGCCTTGGTGTTAAAGACAAAAATTCACATAAAATCACATTACAGTGTATAATCAGGAACGTAAGGACTTAGCCCACTCTGCCCAGGAAGGTTGAATTATATCTGTTCTCTTCTGTCATGTACCTGGGAAACTCTGATTTTATCCATCTCATGAATTTTCCAGAAACATCTAAATTTTCTCTTTTAAAGCGTTTTTATGTATAAAGTCAATCTTAGCCCTAGATCATAGTTTAATTAATAATCCTTTGATTTTCAAACATAACCATGATAATTATATACTCAGTATTTAAAATGTGTGTTCAGTAAGCTTCATGGGTATTTTTGGATTCATATGAATGGAGGTATGGGAATATGGATTGATTTATCCTCTTGGAACACAATTCCTATTGATAGTAGAGTTGAGTTGTCCCAGAATGAAAATTCTTAGTGATCATCTCTTAAGCTAATCTTTGCTGAATGACTGTCCCTTCTGAATTGGAAACTCCCTTGTGGTTTCCTGGATATTGAATTTTAACCTTGTGCTTCTCTTCAGAGGGCCCTAATCAGTGCATATTTCTTCAGCTGTGTCATCTCATTAAGTTAAGGCAGCTCTGAGTTCTGTTACTGACTAATGCAACTTAGTGCTGCTAGGGCTCCTTCAGTAGCTTCAATCTTTCCAGTCTGTTGAACTGATGCCAATACAAAAATGAAATATAGTGGAATGGTATCAACATAACATCATTCTTTAGCCATACCTTAAGAATTCTATGTTGGGCATTTAATAAACACATATTCAATTCGACTTCCATGATTTTTTTAGTCATGCTAATTTGCATATGGATTTTCACAAGCAATAACTGCAGCGCATATTAAGAAAGAAAAACAACTCATGAACCCAGGGTCTCCTGCCTCTCTTACAAGGACATGTCTAAGAACACTGTACCCCCAGGGAAACCAAAGTTGAGTAAACTTATCAATTGGACTAGAAACTTCATAGTGTTGAACCTGTGACTTGTCTACCTTTTTATCTCCAACATGCAGCACACACAAAAAACCTGCAAGTAACTCATGTGCTGAGAGAATGAATGAGCAAATGAGGATTTAAAGCAGGAATAGTATTTTTCTGAATCTTGAACAGAAATGATTTGTGAAACTTGCAAATTCCAGTAAACTGAACCTTCTTTAGGCAATAAAATCAGAGTGCAGTAGCACAAATTTTGACTGTTCACAGCCTAACCAGTCAGAGGTGGAAAAATAAGAAGTGGCATTCATTGCTACTCTACAGCCATTTACGGTTTAATTTTTTTCAAATTATTGGCAGTTAAATCAAAAAAGATATATTCTGTCTTATCTGGAAAAAGTAGCCCTATGTCATATCTCAAAAGATGACAAGAGACAATTAATAAAATCCCTTTTGAGAACACTCCCTAAAATACTTTCCACAACAACAGTCCTAAAGAAATAACATCAATGGCTTATAGGTATGAAACTCAAATCATTTTCATTTCTAGCCCAAGTCTACCTTGTATGTACGGACTGCAAAATTTCAATCTTCTCACTGACAGGGAAGGGAAGAAACTACTTAAAAAATAGGTGTATTAGTATTTGCTTTTCGTAGACTCAGGCCACAAATATGTTAGGGGCAGATAAGGTTGATCATAACTGTGTTCTTCTAAAAAGCATCTTTTCATTGCTAGGTTAGCAATATTTATAAAAATATTACTTAGTAGGGGGAATTACAATGAGCTTAGTTCCTTCTCCAAATATCTTGATCAAGCCTGGGCTGTCACCTTGGTCATAGCTTCTCCAAAAATCTGTCTCCTCCAAACTTCATGAGATGTTGCAGTTTGACAACTTTGTAATGGCAATGAGATCTGGTGTTCCTTTGTAATTCCTTGAGTATGGCTTTTGTGGAAACTACTGGTTTGTAAGTTTCCTTATAAGTTGATCTCCTAAATTGTCTGTTATTTCACGAGGCAATAATCATTAGACTATGCTGAAGAAAATGGAAAATGTAACAGAAAAAAATGAGTCAAGAAAGCCAGGCCAACTGGTCAACCAACTATTTGCTAAATTACCAGTAAAAGTATTAAGAGGGTAAAGTCTTTTTTTCCTCAGGTGTTTTGTTAGTTTGAAACTGCTTAGAGACTACATCAAAGGAACAGGCTTCCTGTTCTCATAAACATCAAAGCCTCTTCTTACCAACTTGGGAATATTGTTCTGAGCGGAGGAAGCTCTTTGATAATTGAAAATGCAAACTGTGCCAACACAGTTAAGAAATATGAACTCATCTCTTCACTTCCATTAAGTCCATATATACAATTTAGCATCATGGTGCACTATCAGGGCAGTAGCAAATACATAATTAACTTCTCTGGTGACTTTTTTCTGGAATAAAAGAATAAAATGATAGAATTCTGTCTATCATGAAATTGTAGGCTCTTTGTTAAATGAGAATGTGGGGGAAATCTAGTTTGGTGAGAGGAGGTTCTTGGAAGCTTTTTTTAATCTTATCTTATTTACCGTGAAACAGAGAAAAATGGCTGGAACCAGTCAAGTCCTCAAGGGGACAGGTCTTGATAATTCCCATGCCCACTCCAGACATATGATATCCTCGCCAAATTTCCAAGAGCTGACATAGCTTCTGCACTTGAAGGATTAAGGTAAGAATGTGGTGATTGTGGACACTGTCCAGTCATAGCAATTCACATCTACCAGCCTAATGGAGAGGACAAGAGGACTAGATGAAAATTATGTCCAGAAAGTTTTTTCAAATTTTAATTGATTGATCAGTTGATTGATTGGAAAATGTCGCAAATGAAAAATTCTACTTTTTGTTACTTGGAGCTGTGGATTACATTTTGCACTTTGGTACATGTAAATGAAACACATTCAATCCCTTTTTATACACTGTTTCCTTCCTGTTTTCCAAAACTAGGAGGAGAATCATTAGAAGCCTTACAGATTATCTGTATTTCCAGAGCCATAAAAGGCTTATGTAACAAAATGGAAAAAAATGATGAATTATAAAATCCTTTATTCTATTTTAAAAAAAATATAAGATCTCAGGGAAGATCACATAATAAAGTTTTGCTAAAGACCTACAATAAAACCTGAATGCATGGAGAAAAATATTCTAAAATAAAAAGATATTACCATAAAAGAACAAATGATTTTTAAATACATATGTGGATTGATTGCAGTTACACACATAACATTGTATTTTTCTGTTGTAGAGTATGAAAGTTCACAATGGACCGACTATAATTCTATGTAAAGATTCATAAACATGATATAATGGAAAAAGAATGTACAGAAAACAAAAACTAATAAAAATTAAAATTAAAAACATAAAAATAGTAGAAAATAGGTATTTTGCATAAATTTAAAAACCTATTAAATGCTATTGACATAATAGTGATGTAAGAATAATGATATAGATAGATAAATCAGAATCTTACAGAAAATATGTTCCCAGTATATGTGGATATTAAAAACATGATGCAGCTGTTTTAAATTGTAGAGAAATGGTAACTTATTTAAAATTGAATTTAGATAATGATTATTTATTAGAAAGAGATAAATATAAATGTCTCTCCACCTCTTACCATGTGAAAGAGGTCTCAAGTAGAATAGAGTTAAAAGGACAGTGACAAAGTGACATGTACACCACAAGCAACATGCAAGATTTTATGGGTGGGAATGGGGAGAAGAAATTTCACTCAATGTATTACTTTTTATGAAATAAATTATAGAGAATTTTAATTTTTAAAATATTTTCAAATAAAAGTTTTCTAAAGAATAGAGAAAGAGGAGTTACCAAAGCCCATAGGGAGAATAGGCCTGTGCTTTAAGAAGATAAACCTGTAAGTGGAAAGGAAGGTGTGCTGCTCAGGGGAGCAATTTGAGGGACACAAATGTGTCTTACAGGTGGTCACCATAAGTTAAGTAGAAGCAACCAAAGATCTATCTTGCTGCTGTGATAATGAGGACTACAGGGTGGCTGCTGAGATAGATCTTAACAGCTTTGTTAGAATTTTAAGAAGATTCTTATGAAAGTAATACAATTTTAATCATAGGAGGCTCAGAGAAAAGAAAAAGATCTTAAAATCAGAAAGATCGGGTTCCAGTACTTCTGTTCCTGGTGGGCTGACCTTGAGTAGACACACTCTTTTTTTGGTACGGGTGATCAAACTGCATGGCAGGCGACAGAACCACTGAGCTAAATCCCTGGCTCCTTTCACACACTTCTGAAAGATTTAGTTACCTTATTTGTGAGATGGGGATGATGAAATCCCATTTCTCAGGACTCCATAAAGTTCAAATGAAACAATTTGTTTAGGATAGGCTGGAAGGTGTCGAGCATTTTTTAAAAGGTTCCTTGTCTTTTATCACTGTTATAATTTAAATCAAGAATGTTCCCCGAGAACCTGATGTGGTCAGAGAAAAGGCATTTGGAAATTATAGGGGCCTACAATTGACTTGATATTAGGACGTGGTGCCTGGTTAGAATTGGGTCAGGCATGACCTAAAAGGATATATCTCTCTCCTGGCTCTTCCCTTCTCTCTCTGCTTCCTGACCACCATGATGTGAGTAACTTTCTTCTGCCCAGACGTTTTCACCATGTGTACCAATATTTGAGCCTACCAACAGGGACTGAAATTTCTGAAAGATGAGCCAAAATAATCCTCTCCTTTAATTTGCTAATGCTGACTATTGAGTCCCAGCAGCAACAAAAGTGACTAGGAATTTGGGATCAGAGAAGTTGAGTGATAGCTGTGACTGTCACGTGACCATATGATTTGCAAGCCTTTGGAACTGATTGCTGTGAAGGTTTGAAAAGGTTTAGAGATATCTGTTAGAGAAATTCTAGAAGGCTGTAAGCTAAATTTCACAGAAAGCCTGGTCAGAACTCAGAAGATCAGAATGCTGATAAAAATGCACAGAGGCAAAACTAGGATTAGGAGATTTCAGTTGAGAACAAAGACCTCATTAACAGTTGGACTTCAGTCAATGTGTGTTATATTCTGGCAGAAAATTTGTCTACATTTTGTTCATTTCCTGAGAATTGCAAGGGACTGAGATCAAAGGAGTTGGACTAATTAATCTAGGGGAGAAAATTTCAAGGCAGCCCAATGTTGAGGGTACAGTGTGAGTACTGCTTGCTGCTGTGAGTTTACACTGAAAAACAGGAGCAAAATATCCTTTTGAAAGGTTTTGAGTGTCCTCATAAAGGAAGCTCCTATGAGGATAGGGCCTGTAAAATATTAGCCAAGGTAAACTTGGTTGCTAAAAAGTTTAGCATAAAAAGGAACCAAGTACTTTGCATAAGGACAATAGGAAAGATCCCTTGCTAGTAATGCAGAAATCAACATGAACTCCTCCACCCTGGATACAAATCTGTAAAGCCTTCATTTCAAGATAGTGCTTTAGGTAGTCTAATTAATTCATACAGGATCAACTAGGAAAGAGTTTATTAGAGTGCAGCCATCTTGGCACTTTGAAGGTCTCTGCAGACATGGTTTGAGTGGGCTTAGCTGTGGCTGGAACTAATGATAAACTTTTATCCATGTGGTGTTGGTTTCACAGGCATGCAGAATGCAAAGAGTTGTGAAGTCCTGGGAGGCTTCACTTCAGAAGAACAGCTGGGAAGTCAGGCAGTGTGCCCCTGAGACAGTGAAGCCAAAAGAACAATGGAGACCCCAGGAAGTTGTAGAAGCCAGGAACATAGACATCTGCTGAGAAAGGACACAGGCAGTAAGTGGAGTCTGACCCAAAACAGAAGCCAAGAAGACTGCTGCAGGCAGTGCCATAAAGCCAGTGACACCCAAGCCTTTTGGGGTTTTCATCTTGTCACAACCTGCCCTAGGTACTGGACATGAACCAACAAGTTAAAGTTTGCTTAGTTGGTTTTAGTATCTCTTTGATCCCATTCCTTTGTATCTCCATCTTCCTCCTTTTTGGAATGGGAATATTTGTCCCATTCTGTTGTATGTTGGAAGTATTTGATTTTTTAATTTTTTTTCCTCACTGGGTTTATTGGTACATTTTAGGTATATAATACAGTCACATTCATCATTGGGATCTTGTACCTTTACATGACAGGTCTTGGTTCTCATTTTTTTCCCCTTACCCCTGCCCTCCCTTCACTCCCTCCTCCCTTCCCTATTTACAAATACTTTATTTACATTGTTTTCATTTTCTCATTTTTTTCTTTTTCCTTATTTCCTTTCCCCTACCCTTCACACTTCCCCTACACCTTTAGCCCTTTTCTTCATATGTCACATTGTCAATTATACCATTAGGATCTTATGTACCATTATAGATTTTCACACCAGAGAAACTATTCAGTATTTACATATGTGTGACTTATTTATTTCACTTAATAGTATATCCTCAATATGCATCCATTTTCCTATGAATGACTAATTTCTCGTTCTTTGTGGCTGAGTAGTATTCCATTTTATAGAAAAACCACATCTTCTTTATCCAATCTCCAACTTTTTATTTTTTAAAAAAACAGGGACGCACAGCTAGGAGTTTGTATTGAGTCTCAGAAGAGACTTTGGAATTGGACTTTTTAGCAATGCTAAAACTGTTAAGCCTTTGGTGACTCTTAGAGATTGACTAAACACATTTTGTAAAAAGAGATATGCATGGCTCTTTTGAGGCCCAGGGGCAGATGTATGATATAAATCATCCATTAGTAGCCTCATGCACTCAGAGGCAGGGTTTCTTGAAGGTGACTGAAAGATGAGAGTGCTACAGCTGACTTGCAGTTAAGAGGTACAGCCTGATTAGAGATGGATCACTGAAGCCACTCTCTGGAAGGGCACAGCTTCCTCTCTGGATCCCCCTTCTTTCTCTGCTTCCTGAGTGCCATGATGTGAGCAGCTGTCCTCCACCCAGGTTCTTCTACCAATTGGTTTCTGGTTTTGAGCCTTTTGAACATGGAATGAAATTTCAGAAATATGAGCCAACATAAACCTCTCCTCCTTAATTTGTTGATTTTGGGTATTTCCTTATTCCAGTGTCAGGGAAAGTGACTAAGACAATCATTAATACAAAAATTCAGGTACAGAGGATTCACATTTTATTTAGGAATGGGAACATCATAGCTGTGTGTATAAAAAGCAGTAAATTCAGTTCTCACCAGACTGTATTTAATACACAAACACATCCCAGTCATTAAGTCCTGAGATGACTAGTGGCAGCAGATGAATTCTACTGCAAACAGGAGAGGGACACATAAATAACTGCATAAAAGACAGGGGTATCAAGTGAGTTATAACACAGGGATGGAACTAAGTGTTTTGCCTCACTTTCTGAAGCTTGTCAATGACATTTTTCACTACTAAACAAATTCAACCAAAAATATTAGATGATCAAAAGGTCTGAAGATCTATGTCATTGCTCATTTCAAGGTTTCATTGCCATTACTATTTCAAACAAAATAGTAACGCATTCATTTCTTTTTCACCTTGCTCTATATTCTTGAAATTCTGAAGGATTTTAATAGTAGTAGTAGCAGTAGTAATAGTAGTAGTAGTAGTAGTAGTAGTAGTACTAGTAGTAGTAGTACTAGTAGTACTGGGGATTGAACTCGGAATCTTATGCTTGTGTGATGGAACCACTGAGCTAAATCCCTGGCCCATAATGAAGGAGTTTTAATGAAATCTTATATGTAACTTACAGCGACTTCCAATAAAAAATGTTAGCAGACATTGCCTTAAGCAAAATAAACACATCCATATACTTATATAAACATCTCACCTTCACAATTTGGCATGATTTTGATTTCACAATTCCAGCCCTTAAATAATATAGTATAGAGCATAGTATAGTGCAGTGATGGCAAAACTTTTAAAGACTGAGTCCCCAAACTGAAACCCAAAACCCACTTATTTATGACAAAGTGCCAATGCTGCAATTAAACTTGAATATTGAGGTTGTCGCTTTTTTAAAAAGCAACTGCTATTTGATGCTCTGCTGCTGGGATGACTTGACTGACAGAGAGGGCTCTGCGTTCCTACTGCAGTGTACATGTCACAGTTTCACTACCATCAGCATAGTGGATCATTGGAAAATACTGTTTACCTGCTTGTAAAAATGCAAGAGCACTGAATGCAAGTGGCCAGGCCCAGTTACCTTTTGAAGAGACTCTTCTATTTAGCTCTTTTACTATGTCTTTGCTCTGAATTTGATGATCTTCTAGTCCCATGGGACTTCTTCTGCACTATGGGTGCTTGACTTGTCCTTACAGGTGTTACAAATACTTCTTCATTTTTACAGCACCCAAGGCAAATATGACTGGTGGAGCCCATATTTCTTTTTGACCAATAAATAATGTTTGTTTGTATATTCAGAACAGAAGTGTGTAAAGGCACCTGTGCTTGGAAGAATTTCACTTGGGGAAATATTACACTCCCCTCCACTCCAAAATTTCTTTGCCATTTCCTTTCTCCCTGTTTCAGGATAAGAAGCCCTGAACCAAAAGGTTTCCTTTGTATGCAAGGAAGAAAATTCATAATAGAGGGTTTACCATCTTTGAGATACCATCTATGCATCTAACTCAACTTATCCTATAAATTTTTATAACCATTAGTGATCAAACAGGAAATTGAGAGTTACAGAATTCAAATTGAGCAGGGACTTGAGTCCAAATTTGCAAGATTCAGACTGTATTTCTTCAACTGCTTCACACTGGGTAGGGTAGATAAAGCAGGAAAGATGGTGTGGCAGGGACAGTTTGCAGGTCTATGCCAGCTCTGTATAGACAGAGGATCTTCATCTCAGATGACAGTGTATGGTGTTGGGTATTGCTTTCAGAGGATTACAGAAACTACCAAACTAAATAAACAATAGAAGAAATGCTTTATTGTCATATTCTTAAAAAGCAGTGTACCAGTGCTGTGAATATATGTGCAGCAAGATAAGTATAATGAATACTTAAAGTTGGAAAAAAGATTTTGAATGTTTCCTCAGACCAGTGGCAGGAGTGCAGGGATGTTCTGGAGTATATGAAGAAATGGAGGGTCAGGTGATTTCTTGGATTCTTTATGATCTGCTGCAGTGAGGAACAGTTATAGGCTTTCCTGCCCCACCACTACTGGACAGGTCAGATTGGTGGATTAATTGCACACACATCCCTGGAATGCATAGGCTCATCTGGGGTAGGGCAGGGATCGGTCTATGACTTACTCACCCTTTCCCCTTGTAATTTTATTCCAGAGAAATATTGCTTTGGAACTATGAAGATACACCTGCTATGTTCTGTCCCCGTGGCTACCTTTCTGTGATATGCTGTTGATGCAGATCTTTGGTAAGAAGCCTGAGATTAATTTTTCCATAATACTTTAAAAATCAGATACGGAAATATTTCCTGATATTATTTAATATTCCCAATGCACAATGCTAGAATCCTTTGTGTTCTTTAAATTGACCCTCACCAAGCAGATTGTGACACCAAGCAGATGGTGACTGAGAAAACTCACATTCATTTATAACCAGGATGATGCCTCATAAGGAGAAACTAGAGTGAAGTTGATAGCAGGTAGGAAACTGATAAATGTTGGAAATCACCTTATACTCACCCTGGACCATGGGATCATTTCATGAACATATGTCACAAAGGAGGGTGTGCTTATGTCAATGTTATGTTTCATATGTAATGACAGCTGTAAAAGTAACACAGTACTGAATAACCATGGAGGACTCACTACTTGTGAGGAATTTTTCGAGATGCTTACTTTTAAACTTATTTCATCCTCTCAACAGGCCTTTCAGGTGTGTGTTGTGATAATTTCCATTTGGCAAATGAGGTCAGCAGCAGAGGGGTTAAGTGACATTCACAGTCCTTGACGTCTTCATTGCAGTTATGAATAGAAATAGGACTCCTTGATATTAACTACATACATGTGTATTTGAGTGGGATGTGCATATTTGGCCTTATATTTGCTTCCTCTGGCTAGCTCATTGCATACACTGACGCAGGTCATTAATCTATGCAAACTTTATTTTATTTTTTATTTGTTTGTTTGTGTTTTGGTACCAGGGATTGGACTTAGGACCTTGTGCTTATGAGGCAGGTGCAATGCCACTGAACTAAATCTCCAACCCTGCAAACCTTATTTTTAAGAACTAAAGATAATTAAACACCCTCTTTTGTCACTTTAACCTAGAGCATTTTGGCCTCAGTTTGCGCATTTGTACCTCACCTATGTACATACTTTTAGAAGTATTAAGAGGCTCACATTATCACATTACAGAAAAATTAACAGATATTAGATATAATGATTTTTCAATGATGTTATCATTCCTAGTATTACTGTTATTATCAACAAAAGGAAAACTGCTCTATTAAAATACTTTTTGCAGCAAAATCATAGTATCCTGTTTAGGAAATATAAAATTATAAAACATATGTAGAAGAAATTCAAACACTATATCTCTCAAGGTAATCTCTTTTAATTCCTGGAGAATTTTGTTCTATTTTCTCAAACATTCATCTATCAAAATAAGCATCAATATTTGAAGATTTTATGTACTTTATGAAGCTTTTATTGTATTGCACTATTTTTAAATTTTATTGATAAATCCTTACAATCTGGATAACCAGGCTGCATGGTATTCCCCCATCTGAATGCAGTAAAAATTTGGTCTCTTTCCCTGTCATTCACCTTTCAGCCTGAGACCTGAAATGCTGGTGGAGAGTTCCAAATTCTAACCTGGTGTCTCTCTGTGGATCCCTCATCACTGTTCTGTGAGACTCTTTCGGTATTAAATGAAGCAAATTTGGAACTTTCTCACACACAGTATAAAAGGTAGGGATATTTTAAAGTAATGTTTATTTTTACTTCTGGTAAAAGACAATTTACTTCTGACCTTGATAATTAATGTTATAGCTAATATCCATTGCTAACACTGTTTTGAATGTCTTCTTCTACTAAATAATTTTTGCACTCACCAATCCAGAGAAGTGGGGTCATTAAGAGCTTACTCTGATACAATAGAAGAATGGAACAAAGAGGGAATATCCCAAGTCACACAGCAGTGACTGTGTTGAACTGTGGAAGCCAGATAAGTAACAGATATTCACTAAAGAAAATCTGAGCAAATGCACAATAAAATGAAGAAACCGGAAACCCTCATCAATTGTGCTTAGTATTTTCTCTGCATATTTATATAACAATGTGTTTGGCTCATTGTGTTTCTTATTTTAAATGGCCTTTACATATGGTTCCATATCTATTCTTTTAGTTAACTTTACATTTGAATATATATCAAATCCCTCCTTAGAAACATGATGTGAATATCACCCTTAATGATCTGTGGGATGGGAGCAATGCATTGTTCTTGGTCCCCTGTGATGAAGAAACACTTGAGTGCAATAGCCGAGAAGAGCCACAGCCTGGGTCCCACTCTACTCCCAGCCACGTACCAGCTGTGTGATTTGGACAATGGCCTGAACCACCCCTTAGTGCTTCTCTTACCTCCTGATTCAGATGAGCTGGTTAGGGATGACAGAGCAGACCTTACAGGAAGCGTGGGTTACAGGAGATGATGCAGGAAAAAAATTGGGAACTCTTAGAGGAGCTCTCTGTATCCCATTTGCTCTCCTTCTCTTCCTCCTCTTTCTCCTCCTTCCCCTCCCCCCTCTTTCTCTCACATACATATGCACGTGAACACACATGCACACGTGCAACACACACACACACACACACACACACACACACAATGAACTCTTCTTGGCTGGCCAGCTTCTTTCATTATGATAGCCAGGATCACAGGTTATTCCAGTAATGACAATGGCTCCAGCCAATTCCATTCTGATGCCATCACACTGGAAGAATCCTCTCACCTCCCACAGAAATGGCACCTGCGCCATCTCTCATGTGCCCTAGAAATCCTAGAACTCACGTACCCACAATCCTGAAACTATTCAATGTGGTCCCACAGCCCAGTTGGAAGGGCATAATTTCCTGTCTTGGGTTGTTCACCAGGCTTCAGTTCTCCAAGCTTCAACGTCTTTGGTTGTACCCTGGACCGGAGGTAGTTATTCCGCAGAGGTTGCATGTGCTGTGTTCATTGTATGTAGTGACAGTGGAGACCATGACTCCCTCTTTAGGCTTCCCCAGGCCACTTACCCAGCATCAATAGATGCTGATGAGGTGACAATGGCACAGCCCTGTCCTCTCAGTTCACAGATGGGACTGGAACGCAGTAAGAAGTAGTGTCAGATGGAGACCTGGAACCACATGCTGGGGTCAGCTGGGACTCGGGTGACAGCAGCAACCATGATGGCCTCAAGGACGGGCCTGAGGCTGGGAGGCCAGTTGGGGAGCTGGCTCTGGGCTCCTCTGTCCAGAAGGATGTGGGTTAGCACAGGCCCAGAGAGGGGATCTTGTGTGGGTCCTCTCCACAATCCAGGCACTGTGCATCCCACCCAGCACAGTAGTAAATGGCCATATCTTCTTTTTCTGCTAAATGTATGGTAAGAGTTGAGGAGAGAGTTGTGGGATCTTTCTTTGCTGACACTTTGTTGTTCTTTGCTCCAGCTGGGGTTGTTAGTGAGTTCACTTGAATCAGATGCTCCAAAGCTTGATTTGTTTTCTGCAAGTACCAATGAATGGGTTTAGTTTCAAACCGGGTGCTCCATACCCTGCAATGTATGTCAACAGTTTTCTTTACTTCTGTGGAAACAGATATCTGGGTGTGGGACCTAAATTACAACCCCTTGCTAAATGGCAAAGGGCCTAGGAGACAGTGTCCTGAACCCCTCCCATTGTAGCCACAGCCCCAACCTTTGTTCCAGCCCTGGCCTAAGAATGTGTATCACTCTTGTATTGTTTGAAGTCCGGATATGAATCTACCCGTAAATCAGAGACTCCAGACATAGAGCCCCAAGTTAATTGACAAACTATTTGCTCATCCGGAGTGTCTTGGTGACCTTTGAGACATCCTATGGGTGGTATCTGTCACTCATCAATATGTGACTGTTGAGCATGTGACTGCTGGCCACCAGCTCAAGTCGGCAGACCTTTGTCCCCTGTCTGTGAGCCCAAAAATTTTAACCCCCTCTTTTACTCCCTATAAGAGGACCTCGGCCCCTGAGCTAGGCGCCTCTCTGAGCCAGCCACTTGGTTCTGAGAGCGCCATCTTGCCAGACTAATAAAGGTCTTTTACCATCTAGCCTGGTGTGTTCCTTCCTGGGTTTCTCGTTCCTCGATAGCGCTCACGGAGCCTCATTGGGCTTTAGGGCCCAGCATTGCAAAGGCCTTTTGGGCTGTTTGTGCTCCGTGGAGTGGAAGTGAGACTTTTAAGTCTCACATGGGACTGCTCCAGCTTTGTCACTCCAAGTCCAACTGCAAATAAAAGAGAAGCATTCACAATGGACTTCTGAGAATGTAAAAAGAAGTGATGGAGGAATTAATTACTTTGGCTCCTCATCAGTACTGAAATGGGAAGCGTGTGACTCAAAAGCCCAGAAAGACAAGACGGTGAGCTTGCAGCAGTGGCATCCTGAACAGTAGGCCGCGTCCCCGAAGAGAAGGCAGAAAAGTGAGGAGCTGGTGTCTTCACTCCTTGAGGCAGTGGCAGGAGGGCGTGGTCAGAAGAGGCAGAGGAAGGACAAGGTGGGTTGGGGGATGGAGCCTTCGGAGCAGGCTGCGGGCAGCTCTTCACAGGTCAAGATGGGGCTGTGGTCCACAGGGGGTTCTCGGCATGAATGTGAGGCAGTCACAAAGGTGCTTTCCTTTCCAAGGAAAGGCCTCTCAGCTATTTTTCTCAGCATGCTCTTATTATATATTGCAGTATTAAGAAGTACAACCCACACAATATCAAATATTAATAAGGATGTTCTATATGTTAGGCTTTGTTTCTAAATGTTTTTCAACTTTTTAAATCATCACCACCACCACGTAATTGGATGCTTGTACTTGTGCTTTATAGATGAGGATACTGAGGTACAAAGACCAGAAAGGGCTCCAAATTCACGCGGCTGTAAAGTAGAGCATGCTGATAAAGATGTTCATAGAGAAACAGAGTAACAGCACAAAGATAAATTAAAATTGTCACCATAGCGCTAAGCTAAATAAATCAGAAGCAGAGGGGTAACTATCACATGGTTTCTCTAATACGAGAGACCCAAAGTATAAACAATTTAAAGAGGGAAATAAATGATAGGACACGAGGAGGCAGCCTCTATGGAGATGGAAGGGAGTCTGAGGATGGAGGAAGAAAGAAGGGCAGAGAGGCAATGAGGAATAAAAATGACAAGATGTAATACGTGCACGTACCAGTTTCCCAAGATGAATGTAACTATTGTCTTTCACAAACACATGCAAGTGAAAAATAAAATAAGAAGCCATTAAACTCATGGATTCAAACAAGATGCTTATAAAGAAACTTAGAGAAACAGCATGAAGACAAATTAAACATATCCACAATCAAGTAAACAAGACTAGCAACCCTTATCGTTATTCTGTGTGAACTTGTAGATTTTTAATTTGAAGATGCATGGAAAAATAGCATGGCTTTCAGTATATTTATCTGCTTAGCATATTATTCCACTCATTCCCCTTATGTTCTGATCAAATTTTTCATGTCTGTAGCTATTACCTGTATATCTGTATCTTAGAAGCTGCCTCATCTTGGGCAAACTTCTTCATCTCTTTATACCTCAAACGCCTCATTTGAATTTCAAAGCGATAACTCTATCAGAATTTTATCCACATTAATTAACTGAGCAAAGCTAGAATTTCCCCTGATTTTCAGTAATTTTTAGTAATTATTAAACTTTTACTACTGCCACCTCAGTGATTCCCCTCTCCAGTCAACTTTTCCATCCCACCCCACCCCAGGTGTTGCTGTTAAATGCTTTGGTGTCTATTTGGAAGTAGTGACCTGAGTAGGTTAAAGGGAATCAATCGAATGTACTTAGTATTGTATTTCATTTGCCACGTCAGGAAGCTGCCCTTCCCTCTGTTTTCTTCTCCTAGGCTTCTTCACTTGTGTTTCATTATTTCCACTTAGTTTTTCTCTGAAACCAGGCTGCATCAGATCTCTTCAGCCCCTCACGGTGGTTCCCCAACCTCATGTCAAGCTCTGGGCCGTCTCTGTGGCGCAGCTGTGACACAGCCCGGTGTGGGTCCTTCACAGGAGAGAGGAGAGGAAGAGTTTAGGTCAGGTGGCTGAGTTTTTCTTCTAAGGCAGCTTCCCCATTTTCCTTGTTTCAAATAAATATGATTTCTAGGTGTTCAACACTGGGAAGCTGAATGCTGAAGAGGTGGAGGCAAGAGACCTTCTGCCCTTCTTCTAGGTCAGAAAACCCCTGGCATGGTCATCACTGGAGAGACTCCTTCCTCTCACTGGTGTATGTTCTGGTAAGGAAGGGAGGAGAAGAGGGACCCTAGCAGAGGCCATGGCCTGAGCCAGTGCGACCAGGAAGCTCTTTGCGGCCTAGGGAGTTACCACAGCCACGCTGGAACTCACCAGCTCCCCTGCACTGCCACTGCTGCGGGTTGGTTCCCCCCAGACCTTGAGAGTCCAGTAGCTGTGTGCATGGGTTGTGTGCATGCGAGGGAGGGTGTGTGTGTGTGTGTGTGTGCACGCGCGCACATGTGTGTGTGGTGGTGAGGGTGTGTAATGGATGGAGCCCATGCTATCTACCTACCTAAAGTCCTATAAAATGTACCTGGCCTTTTCTTTTCATCTTCTACTGTAAAAGATAAATTCACTTTTATGTCAAGTCTCATAAGAAAGGAAATTCCTTAAACTGAAAACAAGGTTGCTGAGAGGCAAAAAGAAAGAAAAATGGCCTTGCAGACATGTAATTTTTTTGTTTTGTTTTCTAATTGCTTTAAACAAAGACATGAACCAAGGCAGAATTTAATTTTACTTAATTGTTGTAAATACTTAAAGGAGGCATTTTAATTTTATATTATCTACTTCTCAAATTATTAAAGCCAGCCTTCATGGTGAGCCTTCTGCGCAGTTGACAGCTGCAGCAAACACGTTGTCCAGTGTAACTGTCCAGTGACCGCTGTTGCTCTCGCTCCCGTTTTTAGATGGGAAGTCTGTGACATAGCAGGCGATTCTCCTCAGTGCCAGGCAGGAAGTGATGCAGCAGCAGTCTCCACCAGTAGGTCTAACGCTGGAACCAGTGTTTTTAATGAGACGGACTACTTCTCCTACATACACCTCCCTTTTTATACGTATATCACCGTTTTCCTTCAAGATTCTAGAATTCATGTTCTAGTATGCCTTATGGTAAAGACTTTGCATGCACCTTCTCAGTGATTTTCTCCAAAGATGCATTTATTTCAGTAAGTTTACACCAAGGATCCACTGTAGGCAAGACAGCAGGCAGGTCCTGGGAACATTACAGAAACCAGGCTGAGGTCTCTATTTATGTGATACTTATATTCTAGCAACATTCACATTATTCTTCATTTATTTGGGGCAATATCTGGACCTTAGAGTCACCCTCTTAAAGACCCAGTGTGCCCTCCTTTACTGAAAAATGCTGACATAATACTCTACCTAAGGACTCTAAAAACTCCACAAAAGGCTTCTGGATTTAATAAGCAGATTCAGTAGCAGAGCTGGATACAAAGTCAATACTCAAAATTCAATAGCTTTCCTATACACAAATAAGAAACTCACCGAGAGAGAAATTAGAGAAACACCTTTCACAATAGCATCTTAAAAATAAAATGCCCAGGAATCAATCTAATGAAGGAAGCAAAAGACCTTTACATTGAAAATTACAATACTTTGAAAAAAGAAGATTGAAGAAGGTATCAGAAAATGGAAAGATATCCCTTATTCTTGGGTGGGAAGAATCCATATAGTGAAAATGGCCATACTTCCAAAATTATTATACAAATTTAATGCAATTCCAATCAAAATTCCAACACCATATCTCGCAGTATTAGAGAAAGCAATTCTAAAGTTCATTTGGAACCAGAATACCTGGTTAGAATAGCAAAGGAAACTTTAGAATAGCAAAGGAAATTCTTAGCAACAAAGGCAAGGCAGCAGGTATCACAATCCCTGACTTCAAATTATATTACACCTACTGTGATAAAACAGCAAGATTTGGCAAAAAGAAGAAAAATAGACTTGAGGATCAATGGAACAGAATAAAAGGGCAGAAAGAACTCCAAACACACTCAGCCATCTTATCTTTGACAAAGGGACCAAACTCATTCTCTGGAAGAAGGATTACCCCTTTAGTAGTAGTGCTGAGAAAACTGACTTTCTACATGCTAAAGACTAAAGCTAGACCCATGTCTCTCACCATGAACTAGACTAAAATAAAAATTGATCAAAGATCCAAATATTAAAACAGAAACACTAAATCTGCTAGAAGAGAGAATAGGTAAAATTCTTGAAGATTCAGGGGTCGGCAAACACTTCATGAACAAAACCCAGACTGCACGGGAAATAATACAAAGAACCAAGAACTGGGATCTTATCCTATTAAAAAGCTTTTGCACCTCAAAAGAAATCTCCAACAGAGTGAAGAGACAACCCACAGAAAAAAATTTGATAATAGTCCCTCAGACAAAGGACTAATATCTAGAACATACAAAGAATTGAAAAAAATCAGAACCCCCGCCAAATTTAAAGACCCAATCCAAAAATGGGCATCTGAAATGAACAGACACTTCTCAGATGAACAAGTACAAATGGCAAATAAATATGTATAAAAATGTTCAAAATTTTCTGGTCTTTCAAGAGATGCTAATTAAAAACAACACTGATATATCTTCTCATTGCAGAAAGAATGGCTAATATAAAAAATAAATCAACAACAAATGCTGGTAGGGTTGTGGAGGTAAAGAAGCCCCTCTCCACTGTTTGTGGAGTGAAGACTGAATGACCACTGTGGAAATCAGTTAGGAGATTCCTCAAAAAACTATGAATAGAGGTCCCATTTGACCCAGCTATCCCTCTTATGGGTATCTTCCCAAAAGAATTAAAAGCATCACACCACAGTGATATATACGCACCCATGTTTATAGCAACACAGTTTGAAATAGCTAAATCCCCCCGTAAACAGCCCAAATGCTCATCAACTGATGAATGGATAAAAAAGATGTGGTTTTTCTTTTTCTTTTTTTCTTTCTTTTTTTTTTTTTTTTTTTTTTGTTGGTCTTTGAGGCAGGCTCTCACTATGTAGTTGAGACTGACCTGGAACTCACTATGTAGCCCAGTCTGGTCTGAAACTCACAGTGATCCTCCTGTCTCAGCCTCCCGAGCACTGGGATTACAGGGGTGAGCCACCACACTCGGCAAGATGTGGTTTTTCTATGCAATGGATTATTACTCAGCCATAAAGGATAAACTTGAGACATGTATAGCTACATGGATGCACCTTGAAACTATATTCTTAAGTGAAACAAATTAACAGGTGTACATATCACATTGTCTCTCTGGCGTAAGTCATTGAAAGTATAAATAGGAACCAAAATATATACTAGACAATTTGAAATAAGAAAAAATTGTTCAAAAGGAAGGAGGAATAGAGAGATGGGAGGGAAAAGGAAGGAAGAAAAAGAAAAAAATGCAAAAAGAAGGAAAAATATAAATGGGGCTTTTGTAAATGCAGAGAGGAAGAGGGGTTGAAGGGAGGGGAGGGGAATGAGGGAAAAAGAGGGGTCAAGATATATCATGTACAGGTGCAAATTCTCTATGATGAATGTGGTCGTGATGTATACCTAAATTGTGCCAATAAAATTAAGAGACAGAATCAAAAGGACCCCCACCCTCTCCCTACGTAGTGATCTCAGTCTAGGGATGAGAAAGAGGGAGAGAAATGGAGAAGAGGTTAAGAATGTATGAAAATGAGACTGAAAGAAATGTTCTAATCTGGTGGAAAGTGAATTGGTAAGTTGATTGCTAGCTCTCAAATCAGCATGAGGAAAGTATGAGAAGGCTGTATACAGCAACGACCTTCCTCCTCCCTGCTGGGTTGTAGCATGCGCATGCCTTATACATTTTGACCACTTTACTTTAGTCCAGGATGTGGGCTTCTGACCCCTCTCCATGTATCTAGACTATGACATTTTCTCTTAAAACAAGTTTACAAGAACCCAGAAGATACATACTTTTCTTAGCCTCTCCCCTCCAGTAAGGAAAAGGGTCCTAGGGAAGGATGTCCGGAAAGCTTCTCTTTCAGATGTGTGCCCAAGGTGACCTTGGCCGCACTGCTTAATCTGTCCTGACCAGGCCCTGCTGGGTTGGACAGTAGGTCTGGGCCAGTCACATTTGCCCACAAATGCCACAGGATAGTTTTATAAAGTTCATAAACTCTAGGCAGCCCAAGAGTGCAGCTGAAATATCTTTCACTTTTTGTTTGAACAGGTGTCTGACCCTCTGTAAGGATGAGTTCTTTCCTCCATGAGCAAGTTTGTTTGCAGGACTTAATGCTGGTCCCCTGGAATGCTGAACACTTGGAACATCTAGCTCGTTTCTGCCAGTGGATGAGAGCGGAATGGATGTGAATTTCATCCTGTCCTTTCCAGTGCCTTTACCCTGTGCAGTTTACTGTTGCTGGAAATCTCTGGGAAATGCAATAATGAATGTCACCTTCCCTAAGATAATCAGGCAGTTTCAACACACCAAGTATCACAGTGAAAATCGAAGTCAGCAGGAAATGCTGCAAAGCAGGCATCTGGGGGCTCAGACACTGGCATCTGTGGGGTGATATTGATAGCCGTCAGATCTTCCTCCTGCTTTGCTCTGATCCTAAGGTATCGCCCTGAAGAGCACAGGAAGTGCCGCACGCTGTGCTGGGTCCCAGCAGGGCTGAGGGCTGGATGAGGTAGCTTCACACTGTGAAGGATGTGGTCACAGGTATGCTGAGTGGCTTCTTACCTTGACTCTGTGACACAGTAGGTTCCCAGGGTTGTGTATTAGGTAACCTCGTTTCTTGTGTTACAGTGAATTTTATATTCAGCATCAAAAGGGACCAGACAGAATTCTACAGCATTCATGGTTGCAATAATTTTCCTGCAACTGATTTTGAATAAAGTTCTTCTTTCCCCAAGTAAATAGCAGATCTCTGAAAGCCTAATTACAGAACCCTAATACAGTAGGTATGAAAAGTTATGTCTCGATACACTACAGTGGAAATATATGCTTCCCTTCTCCTGCAGAGTAAATATTTTCACTTGTTTCAGATGTGTTTATCAAATTGCAACTAGAAATAAAGGAATAAAATCATTTCCAGGGAAATAAAAATGATAAAAAAATAAAACATTCACTTCGAAAAGCTCCTCTGCCAGACTGACAAGTAGAGCAAATTCACATTCCTTGAGTGAAAACAACAGATTAATATCTACACTCATCATATCCCAGCAGCCCCAGCATCCCAGGCTGTCCCCAGGAAGATGACCAAGGAGACAGGAGACAGAGAGGAGAAGGCAGGCCAGGGTGAGGAGCAGGTTTCTAGAGTGTCAGCAAAGGAAATAGGATAGTTTTGGCTCTGAGCCCAGATCAGTCCTTCTGAGGTTGTTTTTCGACCAACAATACATAGGAGTTTGGCCAAAACTATACTACATCAAAAACATTTCATCCATTTCCAGAGTAAAAGTTATCTATACTTTGAAATCTTGTTGTGGTTTAGGAACTTTTAGGAAGATTCTTTATCATCATCATCTTCATCATCAAGATTAATTCATTGATCTCAAGAGTCGGCTGATGTTGGCACTCGATACATTTGACTTTGCTAGGACCTGAAGCCCCTAGTGCTCTTCTGCAGGCAACATCCTCACTGATCTCTGTACCCCTCAGGGTCTCACTGCTCAGGTCAATTTGTCATGGCCTCTCACATGGGATCTGTTCTGGACCCATGGTGGACCCAGGACCTGGGGAGTCCCTTATGGTGTGGAGATGATAGAGCTACCTCCTTAGGAGAGGGGGACCTTACCAGGAGGGAGACTCTCCTGGCAGTGTTGTTTTATTATCACAGTTATTATCTCCAGGGATTCTCTAGGCTCCATTGATATCCAAGCTGGATATAATTCATGAGCCAAACGTTGTTTGCTTTTGAGCAAGTCTTTGGGAAATGTACATGGTCCAAGGTTCCTGTAGCTCTGCCTTGTGGACACTTTGTGTCATACAGTTATTAGTCACAGTGGGGCAGGAGATAGGCTGTTCTGCAACCTACGGCATATTTAATAGCACCCATGGCCTCTACCCAACAGATACTGGTAGTGCTTACACTCTGTAGGGACAAATAAAAATATTTCCAGACACTGTCAAAGTCCTTTGAGGGGAGATTGCCCCTAGTTGAAACTGCCAGTTTAGATGCATTTTTAGGAAACAGATAAGCATTATTATTGTTGTTGTACTGAATGTTGTGTTTCAGCCAAGAAAAAGACAAAATGAAACTAGCTAAACATTGAGCACTAAAAATCCTACCCTTTCTTTAACAGCATCACTTGATCTTCTGGCTACTCTCTCTTTTCATGAGAATAAGAGTGAATATAGCAACACCCCTGTCACTCAGCACACAGCACTCTGCTGCCTTGCTTGACTGGTTGTTACCTGACACTTTAATGTACTTGATACTAAATTCCTTTGTGCTCCATCAAGCCGTATGTTTTAGTGTTTATTAAATCTTTATAGTGAATTATTCAGAATCCCTTCCCTATCCTGAAAACATCATAAATATTGGTTGTCATTAGGACAGAATTCTTATTAAAACTTTATTGCAATGAATATGTTAAAATCAAACTATAATCCCTTACTTCAATGTGGTGTCCACAATTTCCCAAACACCATCACCCACATTAGATGATTTTTTAATTCAAAGTTACCGAGTAATGGGCAAGTGTCAAATACTTTGTTCCTGTTATACTGACTTCTACAAATTCAGTGTAATTCTGGTGCTCTCCTGGAGACAAATGAGGAAATGGCTTAAGGTTTAACACCTGTGGGAAGCAGGTTTGAGGTGGATTCTGTCTGGCTGCAAAGCCTGACCTTTGGAAGAGCTCCCTCTACTTCTGCTCATCTAGCCAATGAGAACAAGATCAGGACCACCTACCTGGGGAGTTTGAAGCATGAATAAGTTCCCTGGTGAAGCGTTCATTATAGCGCCTGACACATGATCCTCCCTCAGAATGGACGTAGTTCACGACACCTTGCACCCTGCAGCATTCAGTGCCCATGCCCAGGTCAGCAGGAAACACACCGGCCTGGTCTTGTCATTCGGAATCTCTCAGGAGGGGACAGACAGAGGGAAGGTCCCAGCACAAGTGGCAATGGCAGAGAAGGAACTTGGACCATTTGCTAGCAATGAATATTTAAAAGTCTAATATTTAATACTGTAAGATTGTGTTTAAGAAAAAATATCCTAGTTTCTAAATAAATTCTGGCAGAGTTTTGTGCAAGAAATTGCTAATTTAGCATGTTAGAGGTTGAAATTCAAATGAAGTGGTATGGTCCAGAGAAAGATCTCTTTGTGGCATGGTAGTGGCCTCTTCTATGGAGGTGAGAAAGTTGATGTCTAGCAGGAGTAGAGACCTGGCCTTGGGTCCCAGAGCTCATGAGGGGTAAAGTAGGAGTCAGTGGGGCATGAGGGTCACAGCAGGGGCAGAGTATTCTCCTGGGGACAGTGAAGGGTGCTGTCCTGTAAGGAAGTGACTGCAGAGCTTGGTCCTCTTGGTGACCACCCCCACCCATCACCACCAGGGCACAGAGTTCTCTCCTGTCTGGGTCCAGGCACAGAACTGGGGAGGGGACAGGGCCTCTGTGCTCTGTGCCCATGGGTTTGTCAGCACCTGGGGAAAAGGAAAGGAACAAACAGCCCAGGACAGCACAGAGTCAGCTCCAGTGCCTCCTGGCCACCTTCTCATACAGGCCTGGGGGCATTGGCCTTGATTAGGGCTGAACTAGAGCATGGGGATGAGGAGCTCCCTCAGAGGCCAGGCATCTCTGAATTGTAAATGTCAGGTCTCAAGGACCTACGTTGAGAGAGATAAGATGATAACATATAGGACAGCTCACTGTCCTTCAGAATAAACTCGCTTTCCATTCAATTATCTTTTTAAAATCTGTACTGGTATCATGATGATGAAGTCCAACATAACTTTGAATCTTCAATTGAAAAGATATTTGAGTTCAGCTTAGACTCAAGAGGGGTCGCTGTGGTTCTTCTTGCTCTACACACAGAGAACCTCAGGACCCTGGCCAGTTGTCCCAGCCTGAAGAGTGAAGGGGCAGCTGCAGAGAGAAAACAGTAAGGGACCTCCAAAGCCTGGTGGCCTCTCTACAGATCTCACCCTGCCAGGGGTCAGACTCATGTAGGGATAAGAGGTTCCACAGCAGGGTAAGGTAGTTCAACATGGCTCTGTGTGTCCTCAACAGCAGAACTCTGGGTTACACTGCTGCCATGGCTATCAGTTTGGTGGTGTTATAGGCCACATGAGGGCCTGAGTGGCTGCTTCCATGGTGCAAGGTGAATGGAGAGAGATATGTAGGAGGGAGGTAGAGCCTGAAGGAGGAAGAACACAGATCTGTCCACGGGAGAGGCAGGGTGGTGGATGTTCAGGGGTCTCAAAAAGGCTTAAAGCACTTTGCTAGACTAGAATCAGCAGTCATGGGCAATCTGATTGCCTTCTAGCACCATGCTAATTGGGCCACAATCATAGCTTCATTAAATCCTGAAAATCACTCAGTGGGATAAATAAATAATACAGATAAGTAATACCTCTTTAGAAATAGGTAAAGTAAAGCTGTCCTTTTTTTTTTCCTCATTGAGTTTATTGGTACTTTTTAAGTATACAGTACAGTTACATTCATCATTGGGATCTTGTACCTTAACATGACAGGTCTTGATTCTCATTTTTTCCCCATACCTCTGCCCTCCTTTCACCCCCACACCCTCCCCTATTTACAAAGACTTTGTTGCCATTTTTTCCTTTCCTCATATTTTTTCTTTTCCTTTATTTCCTTTCCCCTACCTTTCCCACTTCCCCTACACCTTTAGCCCTTTTCTTCCTATTTCACATTGTCAGTTATACCGTTTGGATCTTATTTACTCTTTTAGTTTTTCACACCAGAGAAACTATTTGGTATTTGCACACGTGTCTTATTTATTTCACTTAAGAGTATGGCCTCAATATGCATCCATTTCCTATGAATGACTCTATTTTATCATTCTTTATGGCTTAGTAGTATTCAACTTTATAGAAAAACCACATCTTCTCTACCCAGTTCCCAACTGATGGGCAGTTGGGCTGTTTCCAAGTCTTAGCTATTACAAACCGTGCCACTATAAGCACAGGTGTGCATATATCACTGTGGTATGATTCTTTAAATTCTTTTGGAAAGATACCCAGAAGAGGAATAGCTTGGTCAAATGGAACCTCTAATCCTAGTTCTTTGAGGTATCTCCATATTGATTTCCACAGGAGTTACACCAGTCTGCACTCCCACCAACAATGGAGACGGGTTCGTCTCTCCCCACAGCCCTATCAACATTTGTTATTGGTTGATTTCTTGATAGCAGCCATTCCTTCTGGGGTGAGGTGGAATCTCAGTGTTGTTTTCATTTTCATCTCTTGATGCAGTAATGTTGAACATTTTTTCATATATTTATTTGCTGCTTTTACTTCTTTGAGAAATGTCTGTTCATTTTAGATGCTCATTTTTGAATCTGGTCTTTACATTTTGGGGACCTGATTTTTTTGAGTTCTTTATATATTCTAGATAATAGTCCTTTGTCTGAGGAGCAGCTGGTAAAATTCTTTTCCCTCATTGTAGGTTGTCTCTTAGTTCTGTTGATGGTTTCTTTTGCAGTGCAGAAGCTTTTTAACAAGATGAGATCCCAGTTGTTGATTCTTTGTGCTAGTTCCTGTGCTACTGAGGCTTTGTTCATAAAGTCTTGTCATATGCCACTGTCTTCAAAAGTTCTGCCTAACTTATGGTCCAGCAAGTTTAGTGTTTGTGTTTTAATATTTAGATCTTTAATCTACTTGGATTTTAGTTTAGTGCATGATGAAAGATAGGGATCTAGTTTTAATCTTTGGCAGGTTGAAATCCAGTTTTTCCAACAAGGCTATCCTTTTAAGGAAACTTTCAGGCTCAGAATAGTGAGTTTCAGGACTTGAAGCCAGATACAGGCTTCATCCAAGTCATTTATCTAGTATAATAGAGCCAGCAGGATGCTGCTTGCCTTGGGGGAAGGGACAAGCTAGGAAAACCACCTGTCCCCAAACCTATGTTTTCTGTGTGAGCTGTCTTTGAAGATCGGAGACTCCAGGGCTCCGAAATAGCAGAACACCTTTGTAGCTCTGGGAAAGTTGTGTCACCTCCAGTTTCCTCTGCAGAAAATCCTCACAGCTGCAATCAGAGAACACAAGATGCTATGAGCAAACTATGTTGCACATATCTAGATGTGGAGAACATTAAGAAATGTGGGGCATTGCTGTCCCACCTCCACATGGACAGGTTCAGTGTATGATCTCTGGAGACCATGTGTAGTAGAAATAGCGGGAATGATAGTTTTAGAGAATTAGGAGCCTGTGTGTGTGTGTGTGTGTGTGTGTGTGTGTGTGTATTCATTAATCCTAAACTGGAAAAGAGCACAGGGAATGTATAGAGGCAGGATCGAGTCACTGAGTGCCAGCACTAGGACTTTGGAAAAAGAGAAAACAGGACATGCACTCGGAGGATGGACTAAGAGGGGTCTGCAGAGAGGTTTGTAGAAATTGTCCAGGCCTGCACCCTGAAGGAATGTGGTTCATTTTCAGTTGATTTGTACCCAGTACACCCAATCAGTCAGGAGGCCAGGAGGGGAAAGGTGGATGTGGCCTGGAAGGGGAGTGCTTAGGAGGGAAGGTGGTGGGTGTGGCTGAGGGAAGGGGCTTGGTGTGGAGAGGGCAGTTGAGCTCCTTGGGTTCCTGCAACCTGACCCAGACCCTAAGCTCCTCTGGAGAACCTGTGAGTCAGCACTGCTCAGCCGCAAACAACCCAGGCTCACCTGCCCTGTGTCCCCAGATGCGGGCTGTGGGTTGGGCTCAGTTGGTGAACTGTGGTCAGTCATAAACCAACAAAAATGTTTTGATGAAGGACCTTTCTAGTTCGGTCTTTTATACACTTACAGACATCTAGCCTGGCTGTGGTAAATGCGTGGAAAAGCCACAATTTAGAATGTCAGCAACGAGGGTGTTGGGGGGCAGGTAATGTTTATTTTCCATTTTTGAATGTTATCCGTATTTACCGCAATGAGAATATATTACTTTCAGAAATCAAAACCCCCAACTGCTTTATGAAAATAGATTTCATGCTGTGTCCTCAGCATTCAGAACTATTTCTGTCCGTTTTTGTGATGGGCATTTTGATTCAATTAGCGCTCTTTAGGTACTTGACAGTCGCAAGCAATAAACTGCCAGAGAGTCTAAAGAACCCTGCCCTTGACTGGTGACACACACTCTTTTTGGTGAGATTTCTCCCCTGTGTTTTACCTCTGTTCCTATCCTCTTCTCCCAACTGTGCTGCAGATCACATTTGCCTATATTCAGCATGTATTTAAAAACTTATTACTGCAAGTTCATCGGGCTTCCATGGCAGTGACATAATACTTGATACAAACAACTTAAGGAAAATTGACTTCTACTCAGTTTTTCAGGTTTCACTGCATTGTCAGCAGCTTATCTGATTTTAGACCTGTGGCGAGGCAAAAATATCACAGCAGAAGGACGTGGTGAAGGAAAACTTCCCACCTTGTGGCAGGTAGGACACAGACAGAGAGGGAAAGATGCAGGGAGGACATATGGTCCCCACACCACATCCCACGTCCTACTCCCTTCTATGCCACCCATCTTGTAAGTTTCCATCACCTCCCAACAATGCCATCAAATTATGATCTCATTAGTGGATTAATACACTGATGCACTTAGAGCCCCGCGATCTCATAATATTCTGAAAGTTCCACCTCTGATGCATGAAATTTCTGGAGGATATTTTAGGTCTAAACCATAACATAAATTCCTGGTCAGGACAGTCAAAAGGAGAAAGGTCCTGTCCCCTTGGGCCTCAGGAGAAGCTTGGAAGCTGGTGCCCAGGTCTTTCTGGTCTGCAGGAGGAGATGTGAGCTTGGGTGCGTGTACAACATGTTCTTTCCTCTTTTCCTCTATGCCTGCCCCAGAAGAAACTGCTCTGGGGACCCAGACTGCAGCCCCTGTGGAGAGGTCTTGCAGAGCAAGGGGAGTAGATCTGGATCAGGCAGACCCTGAGTGAAGATCTTGGAAGGTGGGACCCTGTCAGGAGACCCGTGAGTCTGCAGGTGCTGCCTCTGACCGGGGACAGAAGGGTCCTGGGCGTTGTGAGAAATGAGAAGGAGCCTAAGCTGATTCCATTCCTTCTGCTTGTACAACAATGTAGATGTCCATATGCTAACCATTGTCAGTGCCCTGGATGAGCTGGAAGACCAGAAAGAGGACAGTTCCTGATGCATATTTATGAAAAAGTGAAAATTACCTTTTCTTTCAATTTATACTATTAAAAAACTGTTGAATAAAACTCTTTAAAAACAAAAGCATGGATATAAACACAGAACAAAGAAAAACACTGTCAAATCATTTTAAAATAACCCCAAAATCTGCAAGCTAGTCAAGAATATTAGAAATACAAGTATGGTAATTTATATAAGGGCTAGCAACTTTCTTGTATATAAAAAAAAGCCATTTAGAAGGTACAAAGGAAAAATACTTCATTCAACAGAACAAAAAAAAATAATAAGCTAGAAATAATATTTAAAGAAAGTATATAACAACTTCAGTATGTAAGTACTCAGTAATAACCTGCTAAGTAATAATCTAAAGGAGAAACGGTGCATGCTGCTGCTGAGTGCCATCTAACAGAAAGGCAGACTCCTAAAACCTTACAGTGTATCCTCATCCACCTTATTCACTTGGATATGGTATCATGAGACTTCTGGCTCTCCCCCGAAGCAAGATGATCATGCAAGGAAAATACATTTAATCGATTCGGGACACTGAGGCAGCCAGGTACAGCACAACTAAAGATGTGAAAGGACTTCAGAAAGTGGCCCAAACAATGGGATGCATGTTCTAGAAGCGCTGACTATTTTGAGAGGATGTAAAAGCAAGGTATCTTGTATGGTGATACATTTTTAAACTTTAAACACTCACCATATGATTTTTTAAATCTTTATTAAGTTTATTTGTACATTTTAGGTATACCAGATGTTTCAACCACACCTCATATAATGTTCTCATGCCCTGGGCAACCTCCTAAGAAAAGGAAGACCCAAAAAAGCAGCAATTGGAGCCAATCACACATGCAACAAAGGAACTAAAGAAAAATAAGTGGTGAAATATGAGGAAAAAGAGCCTGGCCTGGGATAGTTGAGTAGCGGCTAGGGTACTAAAGGGAGATTAACAATGCTTCTTTTTACCCAATTTTAACTTTCGATCCTGAATGATGAGAATGCTATCTCGGGGAGTGCATCGTTCTTGTAAAACTTCATCTGCTTTCTGCCTAACAGCATGCAGGTCATAGTGACCTTGTACTCTGTATTTTATTAAGTGCTTTTAACTCAACATAGTTAAGGCACCAGAGTAGTTTCTTTTGGGGTGATGGGTTTTCTACTCCTTAATTTAAAAACAAGAAAATTTTGCAATTTATAAACATATAGAAGAAATATAATTTACTGGAGAAAAAGAAAGTTTAACAATCAAACAAATGCAAGAAATATTTTATAACACACACAGGCCCTCACACACATGAAGTTGCCAGGAGCTAGTATTTCATAGAACAGTTCTAATAAAACATCTACCTTTCACATTCATTTTGAGGAAGAACTAGAAGATGCAGGATACCAGATCTATCTACTAAGATATTAACATGACTTTCCAAGAATTTAGGAAACAAATAACACCGAATTACTCAAAAAGGCCGGTTGGCAAAAAATATTAAAACAAACAGAAGATTCACATCCACCACAGTGCATCTGAAGTAGCATGGTGGGTACAACCTTCTGCTTTAACCTAATGCCACCTACCTGCTCTGCACACTGTGTCCTTCCTCCTGCAAGGCTGCCATGACCACACGGACAGTTCTGTCCCTTCAGCGTCTGTCTCTTCTGCACACCAGCTGTCACCTAATTTATGAATCACTAGCAAAGGCCAATCATATCTGAGAAACTATATTTTTTCCAAGTTTCCCCTTTGACATGTGTGCATAGATGAAAAGGATAGCACATCTATAATATTCCCCCCTTTTCTGTATTCTTATTCATAGCAAGAACATCACGGGTGGCTACGGTGAGCGAAGTATCAGTTGGTTTAAAAGGTCATATGATCAGAAAAGTGAAGTATTCAGAAAGCCCCAAATTCTTATTTCATCATTTCTCATCACCCTGAGCAATGAATAAGAATTGTTTTCATTTTGTCTGAGTGATGATAGAGTAAAAGAATGCATGCACCTAGCCTTCCCTTGATGCTCTCCCATCAGCCCAGGGCGACCTTGTCTGTCTTAGACAGTGGTTTTCAAACAGCCCTGGAAGAGCTGAGGAAATCGTGCCATCACCCAGACAGACCGGCCAAGTTCTGGAGATGGCAGTGTGGTCTTTAGGAAAGTCCTGAGGAGGTGATTAGGGGCAGGGCACAGCTGTTGAGAGTGGTACGAGATGGATACAAGGGCGGGGTTAGGAGATGGGTTCAGGGTTTCTTTCTCTTTGCTCATTCTACAGTGAGTCAGGGCTAGGAGAGAAGACGAGGGCTGTTCTAAGTGTGGTCTAGGAACAGGCAAACTTTTCAGTGTAGATAAAGGCAAGTGTGGATCACTGTGTCTGTCCAGGCTGCGCAGTAATAAACACCAGAATCACTTTCTTCCACCTTTCTTGCTAGGAATTCAGAACTCATTTCTGTGCTTACATAAACACTGCATTTCTGTGCATTGATTTCTGAATCTACTGCAGCCCAGGAGTTTAAGAAGTCATAGTACAGAAGGTGTTGTGGGGCCTGACCCTCCTTGAATAGGTACCAGAGGATGTATTTCCTTACTACCTGAGTATCACAAATGATGGCTACATGTGACCCAGGTCTCCTGGTAATTGACGTCATTCTTCCTTCCCAGTTGGAAGATATTTGACTGCCTGCAGTGGAAATAGCAACCCAAAATAATGAGAAATGGACAATGCAATTCTTTGGGTGAACTCCACTGGGATTGGGGGGATCCTATTAGAATCTATGTCACATACTTAACAGCTGGCAGGAAAACTAGAAGCAGGACCACAGTCCACAACATGGCTGCTTCTCCTCGGCCTTGGAAGGAGAGAGACCAGATGAGAAGAGGAGCAGAAATCGCCCTCCAAA